GCAAATTCTTCTTCAGTGCTTGCTCAATGTTATCTGAAGAAATTTTCAAAAACATATGAACGACCATACCATTTTAGTTGTACAACCGATTCAAAGAAATTTCTTCAATCAAGCAATGCTTCCTTTTAAAATAATGTATCGTTGTATATCACTAAGGAAATGGAAGTGATAATAATTTTAATCAAATATTAACATGGAATTTGCATAAGAATTACTGTTGGTAAGATAAAACGAATAAATTGGTCAATTCACTTCCAACAATTCAGACAACAATTAGAGTTGTGGTGATGATTCATAATGGATTAATTGATATTCCGTATTTCACCACTTGTTATTTTAATCATTAAAATTCAATGAAATTCATTTATCATTCAAGTCCTCATGAATGGCATTTTATGTCATGGCTGTGAAATGTTTTAAGACTGGACAGATAAGTTAGAACTTATTGATTTTAAGTATTGTTTATGAGGAAGAATTTTTTTCATAGTACTCGTTGCCTCCCATAGATCAGTACAACTGAACAAATACGTATTTGATGAAAGACTAAAAATCGAACAATCAAAGAATGAATCTCCGATCGGAAATTCCCTTTTTGTCACTATAAATGCAATTAATTTTAGAGCAGTTTGCACTCTTTTGCACTCAAAATCCACTAAATTTTCCGGATAAATCCATTTCAATCGGACAATTGTTCAATGCAGCAATTCATTTATTTTGAATCGAATTCTGCAAAATAAACAGACCCCATCACGATAATTGAAAGGCAAGAATGACCGGTCTTTTTTGTCGTAAGATAAAAGATATGATCGACGAGAAGAGGAATTGGATAGCACTGAAGGAAAAGTAACAATTGGTGAAAATAAATGCTGAAGGAAGAGTGTTGAAAAGGCGGCGATATGTGAAAATTTGAGAGAAGTTGGGAGAAGTGAAAGGTCAATGAGAAATGATTTTGACAGTTACAAATCACTTCAATTATTTCCCGACTGATTTCAAAAATTTTCTTTTTCTTAAATTTCACAAATCTTGTTGTTGTAAACAAAAATTTTGCAATAATTTTGCTGACCGTAGGTTGTCGATGAGTAAAATATTGCAGAAAAAATAAATTAATCAAAGCACAATTATAACTTATGCATTTTGAAATATTCTGAAATTATGCTATATTTTAATTAGTATATTTAAATGATAATTGAATATGTTGAAATAGCGGAGTTGAGGAAGAAACAATGAGGCCTCGGTATTTTTGAATCTTTTTTTTTGTTAAATTAATCTTCGAAGTTTTGATTGGCAAAATATGTGCGTTTCTATTTTGAGAAACTTTAAATCAGTCTAGCAGTTTTAGTAGAAGGAAAAATTTTTTCGAATTTTTTAATGAGATAAGAATACTAACAAATAATTTGCAATATCAGTAAAACATTGGCCTAAGAAGTAATCCAGGTTCGAAAAGTTTTAGGAGTGAGACAAAAGCCTTGAAGAGATGATGATCGTTGACCACGAAAAACTGAATGCCAACCAATTCGCTGTTGTTTAGCATTTAAAATAAATGAGAAAGCTTAAGAAGTTTAATAAATGTATCTCATTGATTGAAAAAAAAATCACCATTTTAAGTTGTTCTTCAAGCAAGACAGATTACTTCCGAACTGGATTATAAGACATGCTTGTGGTAATCATTCTAGTGATTAGATAAAGAAGAAGTGCAAATCATGATTATTTTTATCACAATGATTTGAATTTTTTTTCTGCAAATCATAATCATCTGAATTTTTGAAATCTTAATGTAGATTCGCTATCTGTCTAGGAGATGTGATTAGTAAATCAATGTACATTAAAAAGTGAATTTTCTTTGAATGATATTGATCAATAAGGTATCCTAATCATTAATCAGGATAACATCTGGCTGATATCGATTATTGATTATCATAGCTGTTATTTTAATTGAAATATGCTTTCAAACTTATTTAGAGGAATTTTAAATTGTAGTCAGAATATAATTCGAAGGAGCTATTAAAGCACTTATTTAGAAGTACAATGATTAAAGCTTGTAAAGTAAATTGAAAGATTTTTTTTGAACATGCCTGAAGTAGAACTATTTAATTTTAAAATTCGAAACTCCAAGCTTCTGGAAAAGACTGCAGTCAAATATAAACTACAACTCTAAAAATCATAAATTGATTGCAATCATTCTTCTGATTATCATTAAATTTTCATGCTTTTGTTGAGAATCGAGAAAGACAATAATGTGCTTAAAATTTAGAAAATTCATTGAAAAAGAATTTGCCAATTTCTTGGCAAATTGAGACAAAAATCATATGCTGTTTTTCAAGGTTTTTTCTGACATTTAAATTGTTTAAATTCTGATGCCATTCTCAAATTATTTATAGTATCGAATTTGTAATCATTTATATGAAATGAAATTTAAAAACTCAAAGAAGAATTTTGAAAGTGGATAAATTGGATATGAATGTACTTTGAAAATGAAAAATTCTATGCGCACAATTTCATTGGATAATCCGAAATTATTAGAAACATTTGAAGGGAAATTTTGGAGATTTTCTAATCTTTCTAGAAAAGGATTCATTTTAAAAAATGCTTTGTACTGAAAATTTTCATATTTTTAGATTTTAAATTTACAATGAAGCATTGAATTAGCAAAGCAAATCGTCTCCTTTTTTTGTATTATCATCCGACTTTTACTATTCTTTTTATTTTTTGCTTCCACTAAAAGCTTTTTTCTCTAATAATTAATTAACAAGCCAATTTCTTGGTAGCTTAAAAATGTTACTAATTTTGTAACTCGCCAATTTAACTGTGCATCATTAATTAGTAAATTAGCAACATTTATAGTACTCTAATCCTATTGACAGGAGTAAATTATTTCATTGTTTTATAGCAAAAAAATAATATTTATAGTATTATAATTCTATTTATAGAATAAATTGTTTCATTTTACTGAATTATTGATTTATTTTAACTTAAAAATACCAGAAAGATTATTCTGGAAAAACTTTGAAAATCTTTTCCAATCTTGATGATAGCGATTTCTATCGAGTAGAGTTGGAATTTGAATGGGAAATAAAATGCTTGTCGTTATCTCAATTAGTGACAGTGATCGTTTATCAGAGGAGACGACAGTGATTACGTCATTCGTCACAATATCACCTAATCCAGCTCGATAACCGCCTTTATATCTTACAATATATTTTGTCGTTTTGCACATGTAAATCTAATGTCCATGATAGTTATGGGATTTTATAGAATTAAAAAACAAGTTTATTAATTCAGTTTAAATAATATGTTGTTAGCAATTTTTGAGATTTTTTGTTTAAATTCCAGATTTTATGATAGTTTTCATGAAATTACTATAATTTGATTATTTTCTGCTTAATTATAATATAACTCGTTTTGCTAATTAAGAATGATTGTTTCAATAATCTTAGATAAAAGATCGTTTATTACCATCTAGAAATTTTTCATCGTTATCAATTGTGCACCTCTTATTACATGAAATTATTATCATAATTTTCCAGATCTTTTATAGTTTATCAAACTGTTAAATTTAATAATTTGAGACTTTAGAGCTAATAATTTAATTATTCAATTCTATCTTCTATTTTAAGCTTTTTCCTTCATACGCGCTAATATTATGGAAGTGCATGTAATAATGTGTGCAAATTTTGCAGTTTATAAAGTACTCCTATTTTGAAATGCAACGAATTACACGAAAGACGGCAACACATTTTTTAATAATTGTAAGTATAAAAGTTTTATTTGTTCATAAAAATTTATCAATTTTCTAAATGCCTATGTTTGTGTTTAATATCGTTTAACAAGATTCCCCAAATGAGAAATTTTGTTAATTGAAAATTAAACTTAAATCTTAAATTATATCATCAGAAATTTCTCGCTTTTCCAATTCTTGAATTCATATCTTAATTGAAATAAGTAAGCAAAGGATCAAGTGAGTTGATAATGTGAAAAAAATGGTAAAGATGGTAAATAAGCTTTTGATCTTACGGATGAAATAATAATAGAATTTAAGCAATTTAGAGGGTTTGTAACGTTTTAATTCTTCCGGTCTTTAAATTATCACTAAACAATATTTGAGAGAAAAAGTGAAGTGGGATTTTATAATTAAACACAATTGCAAGAGGTCATTGAATGACCCTGCCAATAAAATTATTTCATCTTTGTTTCGTTGAAATCTTTGTTTCATGAAAATGTCCATCATGCAGAGAAGAAAAGATCCTTGCTGAATTCTCATTCTTGTAGTCTTTGATCTTGAAGATAATTTTTGATTGATCCATTAATAAAAATTAACACTGATTTGCCTTTAATTCAGATTTCCATAGGGATTGTTTATAAATTGATATCATAATTAATATTCTGAAATGATCACAGTTATCAAGTGATTTAATTGAATGTAAAAATTAATGTAATCAAACTCTAAAATGGAATTCTCAGTAACTTATGCAGTTTGCAATGGTCAAATTTAGTTCCTAAAAATCTTCAGATTTTTTTTTGATCCTAAATTTACTTCCTTAATTTTGTTCAAAATTAATTTCAGGCAATACTAACTTATATAAATGCTACAACAGCACCTAACTATAATCTACCATTTAACTATGACCCTCAACAGTACATCGATAGAACATTCAGATCGAACGAAAATGATGAAAATCAACAAAAAATTAGTAAAAACTTGATGGACAAATCAATCAATAATGTGTTTATTCAATTATTTCTAGTTAATTCCAACAGATCTCCCATTAACTCAAACACGGGAATCAATGATCTTCATAATAAAGAAACAGGTAAAAAAAACTTTTTCTCCAACCATATCTGTCGGCACACTTCTCATTACTTTCACACTATGTAAGTTTGCTCTTTTATCCTTTCTGGAATCCTAAAGTAAATATATTGCAGGAAATAATACATTACTGTTAGGCAGTCAACAAAATCCCATATCACTCAAAATTGATCTTGAAAAAGGTACCGTTGATAAAATGAGCAATAATCACCATCTGTCGTCAACGATCAATAATGAAGTGAGTATTATATGAATTTCTTTTGAAAATTTAAAAATGCGCATAACGGATTGAATTGAATTGTAGGAAGTAACATTCATTAATGATGGATTAAATGCAAAAGCGGAGATGGCGCAGAATCCGCTCAAAACATTCAACTCACTGTTACGCGATGATTTTTCTCATAACAATAACGAAAATTCAAGAAATTTACAAAGTACAAATATACATAATGCTAAAGGAAGTTCCATTACATCAACAGGAAAAACTGTTCGAGCAGATTTAGTAAGTTCCCAGCGAAAAAGTATGCTTCATCAAATTTTTTGCTTGAAATTAAAAAAATTTTAAATATATTCCATGCTTGATTTCTTTTTGAAATGAAATCTTAAGAACTTATAATCTTTAATGAAAATTTCTCAAAAAAAAGTTAAAGATTTTAAGTTCTTGCTTGCACTTTGATATTTTTCAGGAAGAAGCCAAAAATCTTGAAAAGATATTATTTGAAGAAATCGATCCAACACTGTATAAATCAAATGTTGATACCTTATCAATGATAGATGAAAATACTTATGCTTTTGATAGAAGGAGAGGAGCTATCGTGAATTTAACGGGAAGAGAAATCGAATTTTTAGCACCCACTCATATCATTAATCGAAATTTGAATTTAGCTGGTCATAGAACCGGAAATTTAGCATCGAGTCACATAGTAGACTATTCGGCTTTCTTGACCAATTCTCCTTCCATGAAAACAAGTACAGTAGTTCCAGATTTCGAGATTTCTCCTTCTGCTACAACAGCAATTTCGATTAGTGGCAAAGAAATGTTATTAAAACAAACTCCAGCTATTACAATGAGCCAACAAAATTCTGCATCAGCATTGATTGATTTTAGCCGTCCTCAAATATTAGACGAATATAATTACTCCAATAAATTTGCAAGCTCAACCACACAAACTTCTGCAGTTAGTTGGATTACAGAGAGTGTAACCGACTTACCGAAAACTGTCATTTTTTCACCCACTGATCATACTACTATTCCTGATGGCATCTCTTCCTTCCATTCATTTTCAACTTCTACTACAACTTCTTCAAAACCGGGACTGATAATTTTTCCCAACAGAAAAAACTCTGATGGATCAGCTTATGTTGGAATAAAACTATCACCACCGGCACTCGATGATCGATCGTCAGAAACAAAAATTGAAATGCCCAATTCCGGTAGAACCTTGGTTGAAAATATTACTGAACCAAAAAATAATTCTGGAAATGGAACATTATATTCTCGACCAATGCCTCCGGTTAATTTTATTAGGATAGGTGATCGAGAGATTCTGGATGAGCAATGGTCTCAAAGTAAAGCTTCACCAGTCCACCCGATGCCACGTATTTCAGTTGGAGAACGGATTGATAGACTGCAAGAAACCCAACCTTCAGATTCTTCGGAAGCTGAAGCAATGTTTGTCGCAAGAGAAGCAATCGTAAAAAGTGCTTCATCTTATCGATCAGCGGAAGTTCCACAGGAAACACAATTTAGAAAGCCTTTTCAAGTTGAATTTAATTCGAACGATAAAATAATCCTCCCTGATCTTACCATTCGAGAAGACAAAATTACCCCTCCAGGCATATTCTTCATTCCAGAACATGATTCGGTAACTTCTGAGCCAGATTACATAGAATCGATGGATTCCTCATTTTTAAATACCGATACACTATTTACGGCATCTGAACAAGAGAAAAGCGAAGCCCTGAAATCTGAATTCAGAACATCGATTAATACTCAATTACCGGAGAATATTCAATTTACTCGATCACAAGAACTATCGTCCGATCCAATCGGATTTAAAGTAATGAACGATGAGGTAAACATTTCTGAAAGCAATATTTGAAGATAAAATTTAAATAAAAAACTTTAAAGTTTCACAACTAAAACTGTAAGAATGTCATAATTTTCGTGTTCAAATAACAGAACATCAGGTCCGCTTACGATTTCAGGATTTCTATTCAAACTAGTAATTACTTTCACTCCCACTTATATCTATTCAAATTTTTCAAAAGTGACAAGTAAATATGACTGATTGGTAATCGTCTGAAATTTTTAATGACCACTGATTAAAACTTGTAGCCATCACTGATACAGACCACAAGCGAAATAAACGTTAACGAATTGATCGATTGCGATATCATTGCTTTCGACGAAGGTAACTTATCCATAATTCAAAATTTTCTTCCTTAAAATTCTGAAAATATAAAAGTGTCACAAAACATAGTTTTAGCACGAATTACTAAAGATAGAAACGTTATGTTATTTCTCAAATAAAAAATTTTTGATATATTTTGAAACCAAAAAAACTTTGCAAACAATTAAAATTGACATGATTGATTTATTTTATGCAAGAGAATTTAAAAAATATTCACTTTTGATTGCAAATAATTTGCATATTAGATATCACTGCAGATAAATGTCCAATAGAAAATGATAAATCTGATCAAACACAATCTGATGTATTGTTTTTAATCGGTGTTTCTCATAATATCAGTGAAATTCACTTTCAACAATCATTGAAACTTATTATGGACACCGTGGAACAATTTAAAAATATTGGTTCTAATGGAATACAGGTTAAATTAAATCTAAAACTACTGAAACTAAAAACACATTCAGGATGCAAATAATTTACGCACATTTCAAGCAAGCAAAATTTCTTCTAATCTTATTTACTTTGTTATAATTTTGCAAATTTTCATTTTATCTTGAAAGTCTTTTTTAATAAAAATTCGAAATTTAATTTTAATTTTATTAAACAGATTTCATTGGTACAATTTGCACGAGAAGCTGTGTTGGAATTTTCATTCCATAAGCATAACTGTAAGCCTTGTCTTCTTGCTGATATTGCTGATACTAAATGTATCAGTGGATTAAACACTACTGATAATGCCATCAATAAGATTATCAAGTATGGCTTTAGCAAACGACGAGTAAGTTTAAACAAATTTTTAACTTATTGAGAAGCAAAATTAATTTATACAATTAATAACTTGTCGAATTTTGTTTTTTCATCTAAGAAAAAGTTATATATATATGGTAATGATATCTTTATTTTAGGGTGATAGAGATGAAGCGGCGAATATACTTGTAGTAGTCAGCAATGGTTTACTCGACGGTCAATTTCATGAAGCGCTACAGGTGTTGTTTACTTATAAATGACTCGGAATATGATTAAGTGAAGCGATTTCTTCACCATCCATTCATCCTATCCAAAAATTCAAGCATTTAATTTAGTATTATTATGGTAATCGGTTTCAGTTACTTCATCCAAACAATATAACAATGATGATCGTATCCACTACTGATAATACAAATCATCAACTGACCAAACAATTTGTCAATGATGATAAATATCACAATCTTTTCTTCGACGCAACTACAGTGGACAGTGACCAACTATCTGATCATCTGGCAGGGCTTATTCGAACCATTTCAAAAGGTTTGGGGTGATCTATTGTCGTCTTCTTTTCTGACCATGACAACATTTAAGGTTTGATTGGAATCCTTAATGTGGATTTCAAACTTTGGTAATTAAACCATAGTAAAGACACAATATCAAAACAAGAAACAAGCGACACAAAGAATAATCCAAACTCACAACCCCAAAGGAAGAAGAAGTAGAAAGAATGAAGAATTGATGTGTTATATAGGCAAAGTATACGTGCGTATCATAACGCGGGAAAATATTGGAGGATATAAGAGCAAAGGAGATCATGTGATACAATAATTGGAGGCAAGGATGGGAAGGGATATAGAGTGCAAGATGAATCATTTAACTGTGCTATTGGTTTAAACAAGAACACGTATTAACATGCATTAAAACACAGTAATATTCCTTATTACAATTATATCTATGAATA